TTAAATACCATGACATTCTCCCTACAAACATGCCATGACCTGGTATATTGAAAAAAGTTCTCTCGCTATGAAAATAAATGAAATCGATCCCATTAATAAAAAAATTTGTAGAACATGATTTCACTTACTTGTCCAGGCGTGATCAAGCCTTTCTTTTCTGCGTCCTTGATCATCGCGAATGCTGGTCTGGTGCCAGGACCAAAAATTTCATACTATTAGATTGTATTTAGCCAAGTTCATACTGGTCAAGCATTTTGATTACACGACAGCATAAAATGTATGAAATTTGAAGTACGAAGAAACAAATCGAGGTGTAAATGAGAATACCTGTCTTTGATGCTAGCAGTAGGCTGCATCATCTCTTGTTTAACAGCTACATAAGCACCACAGCCTTCAGTTACTTTATTAAGATATACAAGGGGAGTTCTTCCAATGAGCTGCATTGCGAAAGTACAATTCATCAGTCGAGACATCGACTATGCTTATTTATTGTACAAATCTTTCTGTTTTTCAAGTCGATATATCCCATTTGTTTGTATGGTTTGGGCACAGACGTGGTCGGGATGGATCGATGGAGAAGTGAACATCAATTGGATTGAAATTTTAGAAGTCTGCATTTTAGAAAGCAGATCTTAATCGCTGGCTTATATGCTTTCTAGCCGATTCAATTGTTATATCAGAAAGCTCACAGAATAAACAAACACTCTTCATGGCATTCTTGAGCAACCGATCCAGCAAAGCAGCTCAAAAATTACCATTAAATTTTTTCAAGCCCGTTCCAAGTTCGAAGTATCTTGTTAATTATATTTTTAAGTCATGTATATCCAAGTTAAATGGGATAAGGCTTGAGGGCATGTTTGGCAGGCTTTTTGCTTTTACTTTTCGTAGAAAAGTTTCATAAGAAAGCCAACTTAGGATCCGTTTGGCAGGCTTCATAAGCACTTCTAGAAAATTATCAAAATATGTTTGAAAGCAGCTTATGACTTTTTAAAAATCTTGACCTATCGTTCCAAGTTCGAAGTATCTTGTTAATTATATTTTTAAGTCATGTATATCCAAGTTAAATGGGATAAGGCTTGAGGGCATGTTTGGCAGGCTTTTTGCTTTTACTTTTCGTAGAAAAGTTTCATAAGAAAGCCAACTTAGGATCCGTTTGGCAGGCTTCATAAGCACTTCTAGAAAATTATCAAAATATGTTTGAAAGCAGCTTATGACTTTTTAAAAATCTTGACCTATAATTACTTGTGAAACTGCTAGGACCTCAAGTACTACTTACTAGTATGAAGGGTGCAGCTGAAACTGATTCTTTTATGAATTTTTAAGTAAGATCTGATTGCAAGTGCCCGACAAAATAAGTAAAATATATATAATTAATTTATTCAAGGATGACCAAGTTTGCAGCACTGTAGGAAGAAAAGACAAAAAAGACCCATAATTCCTCCATTCACAGTTCATCCTTTTTCATCCAATACCAGCAAATGGTTTAAGCCTTCAGTAGGAAACCATTTCAGATAATAATGAACATATTTTCGAAATTAAAAATATAAAAGAAAAACCATGTAATGATAAACCCCAAATCGAATAAAGATAAAAATATAGATTAACATATAAGTACTTGACGTCTAGAGAAAACCGGCTTAATATTTTATGATATTCGATCATGTAACCTAACCAACGAGCTGAAGTAAGAAAACGAATTAAGTGACCTGAGAAACTTCTTTCTTGATGTTGGTTCCAGGAAGATCTTTGGGCAGATCTCTGAGTCTTTGTGCAAGTGAAGGAGAATCCACTAAAGCGCTGCTACTTGAAAATAATCTACTTCTATTCAAAAAAGAGCAGGAACTTCTCTTGGTGAACCTGCTTAAAGACGCCATTGACAACACTTGTATATATTAAAATAGAGAGAGAGAGAGAGAGAGGTCAGGGGATGTGTAGATTCAGATACAGAGAGCAAAAGGAAAGATTGGTAAGCAATTTATAAGTGAAACAGCCCAAAAGAGTTAAATACCATGACATTCTCCCTACAAACATGCCATGACCTGGTATATTGAAAAAAGTTCTCTCGCTATGAAAATAAATGAAATCGATCCCATTAATAAAAAAATTTGTAGAACATGATTTCACTTACTTGTCCAGGCGTGATCAAGCCTTTCTTTTCTGCGTCCTTGATCATCGCGAATGCTGGTCTGGTGCCAGGACCAAAAATTTCATACTATTAGATTGTATTTAGCCAAGTTCATACTGGTCAAGCATTTTGATTACACGACAGCATAAAATGTATGAAATTTGAAGTACGAAGAAACAAATCGAGGTGTAAATGAGAATACCTGTCTTTGATGCTAGCAGTAGGCTGCATCATCTCTTGTTTAACAGCTACATAAGCACCACAGCCTTCAGTTACTTTATTAAGATATACAAGGGGAGTTCTTCCAATGAGCTGCATTGCGAAAGTACAATTCATCAGTCGAGACATCGACTATGCTTATTTATTGTACAAATCTTTCTGTTTTTCAAGTCGATATATCCCATTTGTTTGTATGGTTTGGGCACAGACGTGGTCGGGATGGATCGATGGAGAAGTGAACATCAATTGGATTGAAATTTTAGAAGTCTGCATTTTAGAAAGCAGATCTTAATCGCTGGCTTATATGCTTTCTAGCCGATTCAATTGTTATATCAGAAAGCTCACAGAATAAACAAACACTCTTCATGGCATTCTTGAGCAACCGATCCAGCAAAGCAGCTCAAAAATTACCATTAAATTTTTTCAAGCCCGTTCCAAGTTCGAAGTATCTTGTTAATTATATTTTTAAGTCATGTATATCCAAGTTAAATGGGATAAGGCTTGAGGGCATGTTTGGCAGGCTTTTTGCTTTTACTCTTCGTAGAAAAGTTTCATAAGAAAGCCAACTTAGGATCCGTTTGGCAGGCTTCATAAGCACTTCTAGAAAATTATCAAAATATGTTTGAAAGCAGCTTATGACTTTTTAAAAATCTTGACCTATAATTACTTGTGAAACTGCTAGGACCTCAAGTACTACTTACTAGTATGAAGGGTGCAGCTGAAACTGATTCTTTTATGAATTTTTAAGTAAGATCTGATTGCAAGTGCCCGACAAAATAAGTAAAATATATATAATTAATTTATTCAAGGATGACCAAGTTTGCAGCACTGTAGGAAGAAAAGACAAAAAAGACCCATAATTCCTCCATTCACAGTTCATCCTTTTTCATCCAATACCAGCAAATGGTTTAAGCCTTCAGTAGGAAACCATTTCAGATAATAATGAACATATTTTCGAAATTAAAAATATAAAAGAAAAACCATGTAATGATAAACCCCAAATCGAATAAAGATAAAAATATAGATTAACATATAAGTACTTGACGTCTAGAGAAAACCGGCTTAATATTTTATGATATTCGATCATGTAACCTAACCAACGAGCTGAAGTAAGAAAACGAATTAAGTGACCTGAGAAACTTCTTTCTTGATGTTGGTTCCAGGAAGATCTTTGGGCAGATCTCTGAGTCTTTGTGCAAGTGAAGGAGAATCCACTAAAGCGCTGCTACTTGAAAATAATCTACTTCTATTCAAAAAAGAGCAGGAACTTCTCTTGGTGAACCTGCTTAAAGACGCCATTGACAACACTTGTATATATTAAAATAGAGAGAGAGAGAGAGAGAGGTCAGGGGATGTGTAGATTCAGATACAGAGAGCAAAAGGAAAGATTGGTAAGCAATTTATAAGTGAAACTGCCCAAAAGAGATTGTGTCCATGTACAATTCACTTGCGAGCTCAACTTTTTGGAATTTATATTTCTTTCAAATTTAGTTTCAATCACAATGTAAATACAATATTTTTTTCTACTTTTTAACCACATATTCTCTAAAAATTTCATTTTTAACCAAAATTATGTTCAAAAAATGGGGTCTAGTTAATAAAGAAAGAATAAAGCTCTGAGCCAAGCACACAAGGTAAAAAGAGTAAATCCGATATGTATATCATTTAACTTGAACTATTCAAAAAGGAATCGTATAAATATTGGCATCTTATTTTACATTAAGTCTCTATTTGATTTAACTAAAAAAGTTTATAAAAATCTTTAACGATATTCATATTTTTATCAACTTCTAATCACACATTTGATATTTTTTCATTAAAAAACTATTTTTTAACAAAATTAAATAGAGGTAATTTTTATCCTTTCATTTCTCATAATATTCTAATAATTTGAAGGGGAAAAAAATCATTCTACTAAATATGTGAGCAATTATGTTGTCATGTTGCATGTCTCACATTAGTAATTATATGTTTTATTCCAATCCAAGAAAATATAATACGAGAGCGACAGCAACGTTATTTTGTTCAAATTTGATTTTAAAAAAAAATATTACGACGTAATTTGATTAGATATATTAAAATTAACACCATACATTATGCTTATCTACAATAATTTAATTGCATTTCATGTTGGTAAAAAAATAATGCGCAATATTGAGAATAATAATTAATAATATTAATTTGATGTTGGTGTAAATTGGTTTGATACCATCAAATAAGTTCATGTCTATATTTTTCATTAATTCATCATAACACGTTTTTTCCCCCCAATAATTGAACCCATTTTGGTTAAATTCAGTGTATCCACATATTTCGTAATGTGGCTGCTGACATGGTCAACGATCAATTTGGAATTTCCTTCTCTTTTCTATGAAAATATTTCACAATAAATTGATCAATATTAAAAAAAGACATGTGAGTGAAAAATTAGAATGTTATATTCAATCAAATAAAATTTCATAGTATTACCCTATATGAAAAGAAGGACGATAATTTGTCAATTATATTTGGTTTATGACTAAGAATGAAATAAAAATGATAGTACTGACCTAATTAATCGGATTAATTTGACACACGCTCGAATATGAACATAGTATTGTCCCAGTAATGGGTAGATATACCTACATATTTGAGTCATATTCTTTCAAAAAAATACAATTTTAAATAGTTATTTGACATCATTTTAACCACACATTTTTAAATACTAGTAGTCATCACGTGCATTGCACGAATTTTGTATTTATCATATTTTTATTAGTGTATGAATTTTAGTTTTTTTGGAAAGTTTTTGAAGCAATATCTAAAAATATTTCCGTGATATAAGAAAATAATTGCAAATTATTTTTACAATTGCATAGCAGTATGTTATCTAGAAAAAATATGTTTGTATATTTCATACTTAAATAAGAAATATACAAACTATTTTGTTTGTATTCTTTTATAGTGTTGATATGATTGAATTGAATGTAAATATTATATTTCTAAATTTTGTGTAATTCAATATTGTAAAATTGAAAAAAAAAACTCTCCGTACAATGCGGAAAGAGTTAAATCAAGTGTGGAGTAAAAATTAAAAAAAGGTGCAGAGAGAAAAAATCTCCGCACAGTGCAGAGAGAGTTAAACTATGTGTGGAGAGTTGGCAAATTCTTCACACAGTGTGAAATAAAAAAAAAACTCTCCGCATGGTGCGGAGAGATGACAAACCAACTCTCCGCACAATACGGAGCAAATAAAAAAACTCTCCGCACTATGCGGAGAGAGTTAATCTCTTCGCATAGTGCGGAGAGTTGGTCCGCACCATGGTAAAACTCGCCGCACATTGCAAAGAGAAAAAAATTCTCTGCACAGTGCGTAGAGAGTTAAACCATGTGCGGAGAGAAAAAAATCTCTCCGCACAGTGCGGAGAGAGTTGAACCATGCCAACTCTCCGCATATTGTGGAGTAAAAAAAAACTCTTAGCACAGCACGGAGATATGACAAATCAACTCTCCACACAATACAAAGAAAAAAACTCTCCGCATAGTGTGGAGAGTTGTTTTCAAATTTCTTTATTACATGTCAAATTTCAAGATTGTAAATTTTTCGTATATACAACGAAACAGAGTCGAAAAACATGGCTCAAAGTCAATTGTGTCTTCTTTAAATTCCAGTCACAACTCAATTTCTGAGCATGCAAATCATATTTACGGTATTAGAAATGAGCTTTCTCGTAATTCATACAACAAAACAATATGTGAGTTGTGCAAAGAAGGGGATATTGATAATGCCATGGTATTGCTTTCACAAATGGAGGTTATAGGGTACCACCCAAAATCAATATTTTACACTCGCTTGATAACAGCTCTAGGACATTATAAGCGGATATAATTTTCAATGAAATTATACTTTTGAGTTGTAAGCCAGGAATTAAAATGTTCAATACACTACTCAAAAGCTGTTTGAGAAAAATGCCTCTTGGAACTTGCAGATAAAGTCTCGAGAATTTTTATTTTTTCTCTTCACACTATGCAAAGAGATAGTTTGTCATTTCTATGCACTTTGCGGAGTCTTTTTTTGTCTCATGGAGTTTGTATATACTAAAATTAATTTTTTTTAATATCGTTGGCATGATGCATGTGTAAAAGAATATTTGTCAATTATCATAAACAAAATTCTTCACAAAATGCAAAAAAATAAAAATGCATAATAAATATTCTTATTAAGCTAATAAAATTACAATAAATTTTTTTTTTTACAAATAACATAAAAAAATCATTTTTATCTTCAACAAAAAAAACACATTTAAAAATTTACAATTTCATAACTACTTTTTTTTTAATTCTCGAAAATACAATTATAAAAAAGGAAACAATATTGAATTACAACATTTAATACTTAAAAAATTCAATATTAAATAAATTTTATACATTTATAACAAATTATAAATCCACATATGCAGCTTACCATATTTGCAGACAGCTTACCGTATATGTTGTCTACTGTATTTTAAGCTTACCATATTTGCAGTTTACCGTATTAGCAAACAACTTACCGTATTTGCACATTACCGTATATGTTGCCTACCGTATTTGCAAACAACTTACCGTATTTTTACCTTATCATATTTACAGCTTACCGTATATACTGTCTACCGTATTTGCAACTTACCGTATATGCTATCTACTGTATTTACAGCTTTTTGTATTTTTATATACCGATTTTTGCATTTACAAACACTGAGAATACAGAACACTGTACATTGACTTATCAAACCGAATTTCAAAAAAAAAAATCCAGATTTTTTTTTCAACATAAGCATAAAATAAATATTAAATATATATGAAGCACAAAATATAAATGCATATGAATATAGTGCTCAATCTTCAATTTTTCAATGTTGAATTATACAAAATTTAGAAATATAATCTTCACATTCAAATCAATCATATCAACACTATCAAAGAATACAAACAACATAATTTGTATAATCTCGTATATTTCTTATTCAAGCATGAAATATACAAGTATATTTTTTTTAGATGACACAATACTGTTATGCAATTGTAAAAATAATTTACAATTATTTTCTTATATCATGGAAATATTTCTAAATATTGCTTAAAAAAATTTCCAAAAAACTAAAATTCATAGACTAATAAAAATACGATAAATGTAAAATTCGTGCAATGCACGTGACAGTCACTGTGCGGAGAGTTTTTTTTTTTTAACTTCACACTGTGCGAAGTTGTGTTTTTTTTTAGCTTTTTTTTATTCCACACTGTACGGAGAGTAAGCACTTTGTAAGGACAGTGTCCGCACAGATTGTTCGGATTATCTGCACAGAATATCATCTTACCGCACTATACGAAGAAATTTATTTTATTTTTTTTTACTTCGCACTGTACGAAGAGTTTGCTAACTCTCCGCACATGGTTTGTCATCTCTCCGCACTGTACGGAGAGTTTATTTTTTTTTTTTTAAAACTCATATGCGAAGAGTTTTTTTTCTCATGGCAATTTATATTTACTAAAATTATTATTACTCTTTTAATACTAGTGGCACGATGTGTGAAGAATATTTGTTTGATATAATAAATTTTTTAATGCTAGTGACAAGATGTGCAGAAGAACATTTGTTTAACATAAACAAAATAAAAAATAAAAAATGACATCGTGCATAGTAAAATTGGATTAATTTACTATTGCATCAATAGTAAACCCTCATTTCCCTTTTTATTAGAAGTTAGAAAATACTATTACACGCAAATTCAAAACTTTTCTTCAATTTTTAACCATATATTATCTATCAATTTGTTATTCCAAAATACATTTTTTCAAAATAATGTGGCGCAAACACACACCTAAAATTTGTCAACTATTGATTAATTTTAGTCTTAATTAATGTGACATACTATCGAATAAAAACGATGATATATTATCCCATGATGTAAAGGGTATATTTGATTGCCAATATTTTTCAAGGAAAATGTGTTGTTTCCACCCAAATTCCCACTTTTATGTTGTTTGGTTGCCTTTTTTATGAAAAATTTTTCTTACTTTTTGTCACATGACTATATTTTCCTCAAAATCAAGGAAAATATTTTTTTGGAGGGAGTATGATTTTATTTTTCAGGAAATTCACTCTCTCTTATCTACCTACCAATAAAAATGGACAAATATAATATTTTTTAAGTTAAAAATTAAATTAATAAAGCACATTTAATTAAGAATTTTCATGCAAATAAATTCGAGACAATTAAATTGTCTAAAATTTATTTATTTTTAATACAAATTCCATATTTGTAATCAAATGCACCCCAAGAAATAATTATCAAGTATCATGTTCAGTCCGAACTAATTTGGCATGCAATTAAATAAAAATAACAGTATTTTGCCACTTAGGAAAAATATATATAACACACACTTATCGTGTG